TTTTTGTTATACTCATTTCACTAGGGACTTGTATTGTTTTGCATGCAATTGCATACTCAGAGAGATTGCATGACAACCATTCTAGTAGCTACACAGAAGTCCATGAACTAAATGTAACTTTATGGAGAATCATGTTGCCATTGCTGCAAATAAAAGCACCAAATTTAACATGCCCTTATAGGCCAAAGCCTTTCTCCTGCTCCTCAACCATACTCTTCAAAATTAAAGCGTTGCTGGCCATTCTTAATCCTTATAAGTGTTTCCAAAATGGAACTTAAAAAAGGATGTGATCTTAGGCCATCATCAAAATACAGCTCCTGTTGCACTTCCTAAGCATGGTGTCACTTTATTTAATAGTGATGGAGATCTAACCATATCATCACTACCCATATATGGGAATACTCTTCATGGGCTTAATAAAAGATGAAACCTTCAGTAAAATAATTGTTTTATCTTCCCTGCAGCTAATGTTCATTAACTTCAAAGTAATTGGATGGAGAAAAAAGAATTGTCTTACAACATTTTTCTCACTTGGAGGTTTTTGCAACTGATTTTTCTTCTGCTGTTGTTTATTTGGTCAGGCTGAAGAGATTGCAGCTGGTCGAGATGGTGAGCCTATAGTATGCAGATGCATCGACTGTTTTCCTTTCTTGATTTTTATTGTTTGTTATTCCTTTGTGTTTAGCAGATGGGAAATCAGATTATGGTCCTGGTCGGCCCAAGGGTGGAGGTTATTTTGCCAATGGACAGTAAGGGCATTAACTTATTTTCCTTATTGTTAATTATTATTTTGCAAACATCACCTAGATCTAAAATGCTTGAAAACGACAACTAAGGATGATATAGTTTTGCAAATTCTTTAAAACTCTAAAACACTAACAATATATAACTTATGTGTGAATTCTTTACAGGGGAAAACCGAAGAAGGGAAGAGCTAGAGAGGCCAAGAGAATGAGACATTCTAGTGAACCAGATTTTGATTATGATGATGATCCTGACGTGACATTGTGAAACCACTTGTATCTAATGAAATACTTCTTGGCCTTCCTACTAGGTTTACGGTCTGCTCTTAGATTGTTTTTGTCTCAAAACAACTGGTGATGGAAGAGGTTATTTACAGGATTTTGTACCGTACCAAAAAAAAAAAAATGGTTTATCATATCTCGTATGTGCTAAAACTGAATCAGGGGTACCGATAGTCAAAATGTCCAATGGCAGTGTACGTGAACCTTTACAGTTGAAGCTTCTGGGCAAGTTCAGGCAACAAGTTTGATATTAATCAGCATATTTAGCAAACATTCTAGTATTTTCTTTGGATTTATACATCCCTTTTTACCTTTTTATTGTTTTGTTTTGAGGAGAAGGGGATGGGGACAAATCAAGGAATGATTCTCCAAAGTGATCAAGACCTTCTGTTCCTCTACATAATATCTATATTTTCCCTTTTCCAAATTATAAATGATTATCTAAATAAATTGTGTACTTAACCGAAACTTGGAGGTTACAACACTTAAGGGTGAGTGAGGAATTGTGTTTGCAAGCTTACAATGCAGCAAAAATAAAGTGCCAAATGAACCAAAACTTCCAATCTAAACTGGTTTGGAAAGGAATGGTGGGTTTTCATCACAGTTTTTCAGCTGAACCTTAATGGGAGTTCAATGGGCTCGTAAGTCCACTTTGCTGGACGTGGCCCATCACCAATTAGCCATTATGGTCGAGATGAGTTAAAAGAGGTATATGGGTTCAACGCATGGGCGAAACCAGAAGCCCATGAAAATGAAACGGCGTCGTTCTCAAACAGTAAGCCACAAATTAAAAAAATATGAATTCATCTTAGAAAGCTCCCCCCTCCCTCCTCTCTCCTGCCTCGTCCGATTTCTCCGCTCTGACTTTCCCCGACTCTCGCGCCGTGAATATCTCTCTTATCCCCTTCCTCCCGCCGCTCCCGCTCTACTTAAAGGAATTCTCATTTCGTTCCAAATGAACATACTGGTAAACATTTTCAAACTTCTCTTCTCCAAAAGAAATGCGTATTTCTTTTTAATTACTTTGGCTGTCGGGTTTGGAAAACAATACAACAGGAGAAGCTGAAGATGCAAAAGAAGGAACCAGATGAAGATAAAGCACCTAAAGTCGAAGGCCCAGTTTACTGGCTCGAAACCTCCGATTCCATCACTCGTCGTTACGAATTTGAACCCGACGGCTACCTCTCCGTGAGTATATCTTAGAATTTCACTTGCCATTCAGACAATTTTACATTTGCTTGGTCTGTGAATGTTACTCTCTTTTGGGTTATCACTGAAAATCAATGGCGTTGCTAGCAGATGCTTCTTTTGGGTTTTTTCGTAAATTTCTTTTCTTTTGGTATAGGTGAAGGTGGTTAATGATTCAAGACCAGTATACCATAGAGTGGTTGAATCTTTCCTGAATAAGTTTTTCCCCTCTGGGTATCCATATAGGTAAAAGTTCTATATTCCTACTCGTTAAATATATGAGATTGGAACTAGCCTGAGAACTTATAATTACTGTTTGTTGGTGTTTTGTCTGTACAGTGTGAACGAGGGTTACCTTAGATACACTCAATTTCGGGCATTACAACACTTGTCCAGTGCAGCATTATCCGTTTTGTCAACTCAGGTCTCCTTCTCATCCCTACAGATTCTGCAAATTGCAGTAACGGTAGTTTATATATATTCCATAAATTTTATCTTTTAAGAAAAAATAGAAGAAAAAAACAGGGAAAGGGGAAGACTTGTGTATTTATAAATGTGACAATTAGTGTAATATATGAGGTCATTTCCATACATTCTCACTCCTTTGCAGTCACTGTTATTTGCTGCAGGTTTGCGGCCTACCCCCGCACAGGCAACTGCAGTGGGTTGGGTAAGCTTTTACTTTTTGGAAGAATCCACTCTGAATATGGGGTCCAAGGCTTCTTTGGTAAGAAGTAGTTTGTTTTGTTGATGAGCAGATATTGAAGGATGGAATGCAGCATATGGGAAAGCTCATATGTAGTAATTTGGGTGCAAGGATGGACTCAGAGCCAAAACGTTGGAGAATTTTGGGTTTGTATTCTTATTTTCTTTGTGCTGAATGTCAACTAACCTTCACTTCATGCTACCCATATCGTATCGAATCTTCTAAAGGAAGAAGCTTATAATGTTGCAGCTGATGTGCTATATGATTTGGGTACTGGGTTGGAAGTTCTTTCACCTTTATGTCCTCATCTTTTTCTTGAAGTAGCAGGACTGGGTAATTTTGCAAAGGTATAATCATATTCCTGGTTAATTTACTTTTCCGATGGCCCACATCATTTGCTTTTACTTCAAAAGTTTGCCTTTCTGGTTTTGTTTAAACAGCATCACCATTACATGCTAAATACTACCCTTTCCCCAGTCAGTACTCCTTGTTGAATTTCACTTCTCTATGTCAAGGGAATGGCAGTGGTCGCTGCAAGGGCGACTAGATTACCAATATATTCTTCATTTGCCAGAGAAGGGAATCTTAGTGACCTATTTGCGAAAGGAGAGGCTATATCAACACTTTTCAATGTTGTTGGAATAGGAATTGGGATTCGGTTGGCATCTACGCTTTGTTCATCGATGCAAGGGAAGGTATTAAGATTCTAATAACTTTCTGATTTCAGTCATTTATTTTAATAACGGTATTGGTGCAGGGGAAGGCAATAGCAACATTGGCATGTGCTTGCTAATCCTTTCTCCTCTTTATCCTTCAAAGAGCTTTTACATTACGTAAGTATTCCTGGCAATTTCAAATTGCTGAAATCATAAAAATTGCAGTTGGTTGTTGGACCTCTTCTTTCCATCATACATGTGTATAGTGTTGTTGAAGAAATGAGAGCTGCTCCGGTTAATACATTGAATCCTCAAAGGACTGCCATGATTGTTGCGGATTTTCTAAAGGTTTGTTTTATATGGTTTGAGCTCAATACTGTCATGACTGCTTGGTTTTTCATCTGTCTGATTTTTCAATTGAATGCAACTCAGACTGGAAAGGTATCTAGTCCTTCTGATCTCAGATATCGGGAAGATCTCCTATTTCCAGGGAGACTAATTAAAGATGCCGGGAATGTGAAAGTAGGAAGGGCTTTGAACAAGGTCGTCAAGCCTTCAAAACTTAATGAATGGAAAGAAATGTTCCCTGTAGAGAAGTTTGTTTTGAGTCATGGAAATAAATGGTGTGACATGTTGCTAGAGCATAATGCTACTGGGGAAGATGCACTAAGAGGGTGGCTAGTTGCTGCATTTGCTGCAAGCATGGAGAAGTCCTTAAATGAGCCAAGTGCTAGTGTCTTGCAAGATGCTTATGACAAGATGAATACCATGTTCACTCCGTTTTTGTCTGAGCTGCAGGCCAAAGGGTGGCATACTGATCGTTTTCTTGATGGAACAGGAAGCCGTTTTGCATTTTAATCGTGAAACACATCAAAACACAAGATATTCATTATTGAAATTGAACAAGAAAAGAGGTAAAGGTTATATCTTGTATTTTAGAAAGAGGATTGCATTTGTTTTAATGAGGTAGTGATGTGCTTGTAAGATGCATGTAGATCGGATTAGAATTGTTGAATGAAACATACAGGGAAAATGACCACTTTTTCCTTTTGAATATTAATCGGATCTACCTCCATTAGTAATATATTTTGGCCACATATGGATGGTACTATTGACAACATGAACTAACTGCTTGAGGAGAGACATGGTGGTGGGGGGGTGTATAATGCAATCTAAAGTCATTAAGATATGCAACATATGATTGCAACAAAGCTAGTTGATTTTCAGTACATGGCCTTTTAATGCTTTTCTAAAACCTATTGTCTGAAATCGGGTCAACATGTGATGGCTGCTATGTAGTATTCGGCATGGCACATCTTATTGTGTTTGATTTTTCTTTTCTTTTCATTATTAAACAGAAACGTAGACACTTATTTTGCCAAAACCAAAAAAACACACACAAGATTCATCTTGGCCTCAAGGTCATGCAACAAAGCAAACAAAGGAGGAATTAAAATACTACTAGTATTGATTTATTTATCAAACACAGCAGCCATCTTCCTGCAGATAACAAAAGGTGGATTGCCCTTTTTTTTTTTGTCTTTTATATAAATTTTTGACGGCTAGCACGGTTTCTTGTTGCCATCGTATTCAAACTCATTCTGTCAAATCAAATGAACTTTTTAAGTAGCAATCTTCTATTACAACTTGAATTCCCTGCTTGATTGAAATGTTACTTACTGCACAGAAGTTTCCTGGAAAGTCATCCCATGCATGCATTAATGCAGCAGCCTCTCCCCGACTGCTACAACATGTAGCCAACCCATACCGCGTAATCCAAATTTCTTTCTTTTTTTGTTTGTTTCCTCGTTCGTCATCTTTCGTAAATGCGAGATTTTCGGGTTTCATCAGGATCAGAAGAATAATCTGCCAGTTAAAAATTCTGATGGGATACAAAAGAATCGGACAAACGTAGAATACTTTGCCCACAGATAGCATTGTTCTTTTTTTTTTCCTTTTAATTTGTGAGACTGTGACCAGAAAAAATCATCCCTACATCAAGCCTGTGCAACTTTCTTGCAGAAATTAAGGTGTTGAACAGAGAATAAGGAGATTGCCTGATTTGCTAGCTAGCTGTCTAACAAGATTGAATAATCTGAATAATTTTTTGTTGTATTTATTCTAATTCACAATCAATATATATATATATATATATATATAAAGCTGTATAGGCTTATCTGCATTTTTACAAAGAGTCTTAAATATAAGAAAAAACTATTACAAGATAAAATCTTAAGAGATAAAATAGTTATCAAATTGTTGAAGTTGTTGTAACAAGAGCAAGAGATATTTGTGGAGAAAGTAAATCTATTGGTAAGGCTGAGCACGTTGGCTAAGTATTTGATTTTTTCATAATTTTTAAATTTCCTGCTAATAGGATTTATGTGATAGACATTCTCTGACAACCCCTCGCAAGATGGTGCTCCCATTGGAGATACCGATCTTGGATTGTAGTTGATGAAAAGTGATCGATGATAAGGGCTTTGTAAGAGTATCAGCAAGTTGATCTTTTGATGAGATGTGGGACATAATAAAGGACTTGTGAGCCACATGATTACGAACAAAATGGTAGTCAGTGGAAATATGTTTCATGCGAGAGTGAAACACAGGATTGATAGAGAGATATCTTGCTCCTATGTTATCACAGAAAATTTGTGGAGATGATAGACACTTAACTTGCAACTCATGTATTAAGTTTTGAATACAAAGAACCTCAGAAACACAAGAGGCAAAAGCTTGATCGCTTTTGTTGACAAACGAGAAATAGACTTTTGCTTCTTGGAACACCAAGAAATTGCATTACCACCCAAATAAACAATGTACACAGATGTGGATGTGTGATCATCATAATTGCCTGCCCAATTTTCATTTGTGAAGGCACTGACACAAAATTGTTGGTGGCATTGAAGAAAGAGACCATAATAAATTGTGTATTTTAAGTAGCGCAAGATTCGCTTGGCTGCAAACCATGAGTCTCAGTAGGGGAATGAATGAACTAAGCTACCTTGTTGACTGCATAAGAGATATTAGGCTGCGTGAGTGATAAGTATTGGAGAGCGCCAATTACTTGAAAAAACTTAGTTGCGTCTGCTAAGGGAGAGCCATCATGAAGTTGAAATGACTAACTAGAGGATATAAGCATGGTACATTCTTCGCTCTAACCATGTTTGTGTGTTCTAGTAAGTCATGGATGTACTTGTGTTGAGTGAGAAAAAGACCAGACTTTGTCGAAAGTACCTCAATACCAAGGAAATAATGAAGGTTACCAAGATCTTTGACAAAAAATCGAGTGGCCAACGCTTATAAGAAACATTGATGAAATTTGTTGTCATTGCCAATGACAATTAAATCATCTACATAGACCAAAAAAGAAAGTGTTTGTTATGAAAATTACCCAAGTAACAACAAAGATAAAACCCAGAGAAATCAAGCAAATAGAAAAATACAAGAATTTACGTGATTCGGCCTCTTGCCTACGTCCACGGAGTGAAACTATTTTTATATTATTGAGAAATTAAAGTACAATAAATTGACCTCTATGGCTTCCCAAACCAACCCAAGATCCCTTGTACACTCTTTCTCAATAACCTCCCAAGAACACTCACCCAAACCACTCTAGCTCCACCTAGAGCAAAAGACAGAATTACAAAGTGTCCTTTCTCTAAGACTCTCAAAGTACTACTTGCAATTCTAAAGCCTAGAGATTTACTTTTATAGTATAAAAGTCCAAAGTAAAATGTGATTAGAACTCTATGTGGAATAAGAAGTTTAAAACCATACAACTACTTAATGTTGTACATAAACAAGAATCCTAATCAAATAAGATCTAGAATTCTAGTTAACCTAAACTCAACAAATCTCCACCTTTAACTTGAATTCAAACTTCTTAAACTTCTTCCACCAGTCGCACCCAATTGTAACTTCCTAACTCCACCTACATTCCAACACTTTGAACCACTCTCCAAGCACAAGACTTTTCAAATCATTGGCCTTTATAATTACCACGACTACACATATTGAATCAAGCATGGTCCAACACTCGATTCCATAAAACAGTCAATGCACCTGTGTAGCCGTCAAGTCAATGGCACTAATTGACTTCGAAAAGGGACCTCGATGACCCTTCCAATTCACCATTGGCAAGATTTTTCATCTTTTTACCATCGTCTACACCATGAGAACTTTTCATCACCTCCTCGGCAAATGAAATCTCACTTTGGTAGCTACCATCTCCTGTGCACTGTTCCCATCCCTTCGAGGCCTCACATTCTAGACGATATAAGCCATTATACAAATTTCCCTTCATCAGGACCGTGTCACCTTGTGTGACTTTTACCACTCCATCATAAGCTGAATATTCATAACCTTGGGAGTCTAACAGGCTCAATAATATTAGATTCTTACGCATCTCTGGGACATAGGCCACACCACCCAAAGAGCGCACAATCCCATCAAACATTTTGATTTTTACTACTCGAAGACCCATGACTTTCACTATTGACTTATTACCTAAAGTCAAATTCCCAGCCACCCCTTCTTGAAGTAAATCAAAACAATCCTTTTGATAACATATGTGAGTGGCAGAAGCAGAATCTAAATATCAATCAAAATTTGCATTCATATTTTATGAGATTATAAGGACATCACAATCATCACTTTTAGCAATGAAAGCACACTCACCTTTGTTCTCGTTACTTTCATCCCCTTTTATAGGAAAATCCCTTTTAATATGTTCATACTCTTTGCATTGAAAGCACTGAACATTGTTGGATCTAGACTTGCCACCCTTAGATCCCTTATCGGTTGACTTCCTCCTACGAACCTCAGTTACCAATGCCAAGCCACTTGGATCTCTATCCCCTTCCTTACTTTTCTTTTGGGCTTCACGAGACATTAATATTGCTTGTGCTTGTTCTAACGTTATTGTATCTATCCTACATATTAGAGATTCTACAAATACCTCATAGGAGTCTAGAAGCGAAGCTAGGAACAATAGTGCCTTTTCCTCTTCCTCCTCCTTCACATCAACCTTCTTCAACTGGTCAATGATCCCGTCAAATTCATTCATATGCTTCATGAGGTCTCTATTCTCTTCCATCTTTAAGCGATACAACTTTTACCTAAGTTACAACTTGTTAGAAAGACTTTTTGCCAAATAAATCTTTTTTAACTTTGCCTACAACCTTGGAGCAAAATCCTCATCAATAACATGATTAAACACGTTATCTCCAATGCAAAGCCGAATAGTGCTTACGCACCTTTGCTCCAACTTTGCCCATTCAACATCTTTCATGTCATTTAGTTGCCTTTCCTCATTTCCTAGCAAGGGGCACATTAAACCTTACTGCATAAGGAGATCTTTCATCCTTCTTTACCATTGCGTGAAACTAGTCTTTCCATTAAACTTGTCAATTGAAAAATTCATAGAACTAGTAACTTTCGATATCCTTGTTGAATTTTGAATTTACCGAACCCGAAGCTCTTTTACCAGTTTGTTATGAAAATTGCCCAAGAAACAACAAAGATAAAATCCAGAGAAATCAAGCAAATAGAAAAACACAAGAATTTACGTGGTTCGGCCTTTGGTCTATGTCCACAGAGTGAAACTATTCTTATATTATTGAGAAATTAAAGTACAATAAATTGACCTCTATGGCTTCCTAAACCAACCCAAGATCCCTTGCACACTCTTTCTCAATAACCTCCCAAGAACACTCATCCAAACCACTTTAGCTCCACCTAGAGCAAAAGACAGAGTTACAAAGTGTCCTTTCTCTAAGGCTCTCAAAGCACTACTTGCAATTTTAAAGCCTAGAGATTTACTTTTATAGTATAAAAGTTCAACGTAGAATGTGACTAGGACTCTATGTGGAATAAGAAGTTTAAAACTATACTACTACTTAATGTTGTACATAAACAAAAATCCTAATCAAATAAAATCTAGAATTCTAGTCAACCTAAACTCAACAAATGGCATTGTTATGATAGATGAAGAGTGAGGCATCACTTTATGAGTTAACAACATCATAAGATAGTAGAAAGCCTTTTAACTAAGTGTACCAAGCTCGTGGTGCCTGTTTAAGTCCGTAAATTGCCTTTCGTAACTTATAAACAAAAGCTGGATTATTCTGATCAACAAAACTCGGTGGTTGCTGCATATAAACTTCTTTAAACAATGTACCATGTAAAAAAACCTTATTAACATCCAACTGACAGAGTGGTTAATTATTGGATAAGGCAAGAACAAGAATAAGTCGAATTGCTGTTGGCTTAACAACCAGACTAAAAGTGTCATGAAAATTAATACCAAGGTGTTGGTGAAAGCTTTTGGCAACAAGACGTGCTCTATACTTGGAGATTGAACCATTGGGATTCCGTTTGATTTGAAAAACCCATTTGCATCCAAGGACATTTTGAGAGAATGAATGAGGAACAAGTTCTCATGTTCCATTTGGAAGACGTGCTATAATTTCATCGGGCATGGCTTGCCTCCATTCAACCTGTTTAATTGCCTATGTGACACATATGGGTCCAATAGAAACAGGAAGATGATGTTAAGTAAATGTTTGATAAAGACGTTTGGGTTTGAAAATGTTATTTTTAGAGCGAGTAATCATGGTGTGAGATGGATGTTTCGGAATTGAAGAAGTTGAGGTTATTGAAAGAGGAAGTATTGAAGGTGCGATAGAAAGATTGAATGAGTAACATATGTGGCAAAAGAATTAGAGAAAGGAAGTGAAGAAGAGATATTAGTTAAAGGAAAAGAATTAGTAATGGAGTTTCCTGACTTAGCAAAAGAAAATGGCAATGAAACTGTGAGTGGCTACGACAGAGTATGCAACGGAGCTTTCGTGGCTGTTGTTGTTGATGTCTGAGACACAGTGGTGGGTAGGGATGGTTTTTGTGATGGATAGACATTGACAAAAGGATACCAAGCATGTGCATAGATATTATAGGAATCAGTGGCAAAGGATTTAGACAAAGGAAATTCAGTTTCAATAAATTGAACATGACGAGAAGTGTAGATCTTGTTTGTTGTTATATCCAAACAAAGGTATGCACTTTGATTAAGTGAATAGCCAAGAAAAAGACACAGAGAAGACTTGGTTTGAGTTTATTGGAATTATATGGCTTCAACCAGGGAAAGCACAAACACCCAAAAACTCTTAATTTGTTGTAATTGGGTTTTTTTGTGAAATAATTTTTCGTAAGGAGAAGAAAAATTGATGATAGGAGTAGAAAGTCGATTGATTAAGTAGATAGCTATTTGAAAAGCATAAGACCAATATTTAGAAGGTAGTTTAGCTTGATGAAGAAGAGTGAATCTAGTGTCTACTATATGTTAATGACGTCTTTCAGCAATACCATTATGTTGAGGTGTGTGAGGTGGTGTTTTTAGGTGTTGAATACCCATTGTGCATAAGAAATCTTTTAAAGTAGTACATTGTCCACTGCTATTTGAGTAAATAAAGATGATGGAACATTTAAAAAATTTCTCAACCACAGCCTTATATTGATGAAAGATAGTAAACACATCAAACTTTAGGCGCAAGGGATATAACCAAACATACTTTGTAAAGTGATCAACAAAGATGCATAGTAGTAGAATCCATCAATAGATTGAATAGTAGAAAGTCCTCAGACATCAATGCAGACTAAAACAAGGGGCCTATTACTTTTTAAGGTTGATTCGCCAAAAGGAAGACGTTGGCTTTTATTACATAAACAAGAGTCACATAAAAGATTCAAGCCCAGAGGTGTTGAAAGTGAAACTAAACCAAAATGAACTAGAGATTTAATTGTTTAAACCAAAATGAACTAGAGATTTAATTGTTTTTAGAAATGGATGTCTAAGACGCCCATGCCAACTCATTGGAGATGTTGAAGGAGTGGTACCAGTAGAAAGAGCCACGTTCAAACTTTTAATTGCACCTTCTGTAGTTGGCTACTCATAGAGATCATGCTGATTCTTTTCGCGGAATAAAGGAGTCCCTGTACAAAGATCCTTGACAAGAAAATAAGATGGAAAAAATTCAATAGAGGTTTGATTAGTTCGAAAAAATTTAGCAACAAGTATTAAGTTTTGTTTAATAGATGGGACACAAAAAAATTAGATAAATTGAAAGAGGAAGGAAAATAAACAAAGCCCGTGTGAGTTATTTTAAATTTGAACTATTGCCAATTTAAATGTCATCTGGGCCCTCATAAGGTTGATGAAGAGAAAGATTGGACAAATTCGAGGCAACATGATGAGATGCACTAGAATCGACTATCCATTGATTAAGACCAAAGGAAGAAGTGGTAACATGATAGGCAGAAGGACGCTGTGATCAAACCTGAGGAAACAGTTTAAAACATCTTTTGGCATCATAACCGTGCTTTCTGCAAAATTGACAAACAATTGAATTTGAATTGGAATTATAAGAGTTGGTGGGTTTATATTGTTTATTTGCAGAAGCAGGATTGGGAAGTAAACCAGGTGCAAAGGAAAGAGATAAAGACTTAGGAGGATGGTAGTAGGAAGAAGACTTTTTGGCTAGATTTGTAGTTGGTGGAGTAGGATCAGGATATTGTTTTTCATTGTGAAGAAGGAAAGTTTCATAATCAAAGATTTTATCAAATAATTCTTCGAATGGAACAACAGTGTCTCGAGTCCTCATGGCATTGATAAGTTCCTTGTATGTAGGACCAAGACCATGAGTGGTGTAGACAGGAAGATCAGCGTCACTTGAAAGATCACCAAGAACAGTTAGTTTGTCTGAAATTTGTTTAATGGCCATAAGAAAGTCAGTGACAGAAAGAGATCCATGAGTCATTGAAGTAAGCTTGTCCTTGAGATGAATAATATGAGTAGTAGATCTCTTGGAATAAAGACGAGAAAGACGAGTCCAGGCCTCCTGGTTGGTTTTGGCAAAGCAAAACAAGTGGAATGACCCTTTCAATTAAAGATGCAAAGATTGCATGAAGAAGTAACTGATCTTGACGACATCATGGAAGATAATCTAGATTTGAAATTATTTTACCATTCTGAACCACCGTTGCAGAAGGACAGGGAAAGGTGCCATCAAGATACCCAAGAAGATCCAAGCCGAACAAAAGAGCATTAAACCAAGCCTTCCATGAAAAATAATTAAGTAACATGAGTTTGAGAGGCAGCTGAGGAGCAACATTAATTATTATTAAATTTTGGCAGGATTTGAAGAATTAGCAGCAATTGATGAGTTATCAATAGATGAATCAGAAGCCATTTTAGACACTGAGTTGAAAAAAAAAAAAAAGCTCGTTAGAGATAAGGATTTGATACCATAACAGGATTGAATAATCTGAATAATTTTTTGTTGTTTTTTTTTCTAATTCACAACCAAAAAAAATATACATAAGGCTGTACAGCTTTATCTACAATTTTTTAAAGAGTCTTAAATATAAGGAAAAACTATTACAAGATAAAATCATAAAAGATAAAATAGTTATCAAATTGTTGAGGTTGTTGTATCAAGAGCAAGAGAGATTTGTGGAGAAATTAAATCTGTTGATAACACTGAATACGTTGGTTAAGTATTTGATCTTTCCATAATTTTTGAATTTCTTGCTGATAGGATTTTATCTGATAGACATTCTCTAACACGGTTAACATACAAAGCTATAAAGGAACCGAACTTGGATAATCTAATCTGCATATGTAATGACATCAAAACTGTTGAAGTTTGGCCCTAATTCAAAGCAAACCATAAGGGAAGACGATGCAACTATAAGAAACCTTAGAACAAATTAAATTTAGAAATTCAATATCTTTCTTTGCTATCAATTAATGATATACGTTTTGTGTTACGATGGTTGGAAAACTTTGAAGAGGAGACAGAAAGAATTGAATCATGTAGTGTCTTAACTCTAACTTGTTAAATGTATAACTACAAAAGAAAAAATGACGTATGAATATTGTCCTCTTATAGAAGGATAAGGTCTAAATTTCCAATCTCATTAATATCTGCTACAAAACTTTCAAGAGTGAGTGAACCAAAATACCAGATTTGCCTCCTAGAATTGAAAAGCCCCAAATTACTGGTTTGGGGTCAACATAATCCGTGCGCCAGATTGGAAATTGCTGCTGAGCTGTGGTAGTGGGAGAATAAAAGACCGAGTCTCTTTCATATATGCCTGCCTGCCTCACGTTTAACTTGATTATCGCAAGTTTTCTTTTATACATTCCCTGTTTCTGCTCTGCCAACGTCACTACTCCAAGTGCTTGTAACAATCATGAACACAAAAAGTCACACTCTTAACCCTTGACCTTTGACTTATCCTCTCCTCACCAAAGTCGACCACAAACGCATCCATTAAAGTTCAAACTGATAAACAACTCATTTCCCAACACCATCCACTGTCCTTCAACAATTTTGTATATCTAAAATTTAATTTACATCTTTTACATGTACGAAATTGATGTATAATCGATAAACCTCATAGACAAAATGATTGGATAACCAGATTTAGCTATTCCTGTAAAAACAAGGCCAAACATATACTTCTGCTCTAATTTCTGTGGTATATATGAATACCGAATTCTCAAAGGGACACAGATTAGACAGCCGTATCCTGCGCCCAAAAGGATGTGACCCAAGAAAGCCTCAATGTAGGGCTTCCCCTAACATTGCCTGGTGGTAACCACGACCATTTCGAGACACTTGAACTTTTTCATATTATATATTGCCTACCTATCATATTACCCTCCCAGCCATTCCCTCATGCTGCAAATATAATCTTGTTTTAATACATTGAAATTATACCCGAAAAAGAACTGTAGCAATAGCGGCTGGTTCAACTTTATTCAGCGCCGACCTCGCATGATTAAAAGAGGCAACTGCCATTAATTCATTTTATGGGATGTCTATCAATCCATTCTCTTCTATTATAATTAAAATGTGAAGGGTTTCTATCTACAACTTGAAGACGCAAAGTTGAAGCATATTCAATTGAGAGACACAAATTTCAGGAGCAAAATGGAAGGGCTTCATCCTTTCTATGTTACTTAATTATGGCATTGGGTATTTTGCATGCAAGGTTATCTGAATTAATTACTTTGTTGGGAAATGCCCATCCCTGTAACAAAAAACCAAGCGCTCCTAAACCACAACTTTCAGACGAAGACGAGACTTGTTAAGATATTATTGAATCGTGTACGTCCTATGATTTAAGAAATGCCTAACTTTATTGAAAAATAATTAAAAATAGAGAACAAGAAAGGAGAGACTCTTGAGGGTGGCTATGGTAAGAAAAGAATGCTTTTTTAGTCTGATTTGGCATCAAACTGGTTTAATTAAAAAGTTAATTGAGTTTTAGATGACTTAATTTTTAATAATTTTTTATTTTAATAATCTAATTTTAAAAAATAATATTTTGATCTCTTAACATTTATAAGTGTTATTATTTAAATTATTCAATTATTGAAAAATGATGGACCCTTGACTTGATATTTCACGTTGCTATATCTTAATCAAATGATATATATTCATATCAATTTTTTTGTTATGTGACAATATCTCCGTGATTACAAAAATATTTAATATCTGAATACAAAATTTTCAATTTGGATATGACATCAGCAAAGTGGCCTAATTAGAAACCAAATATATTTTGAAAGAAAACTCCTTATAATGCCATTCTTTATTAATTTCTATTAGTATAATTGGATATACTTAAGTATAATAATATATAATTAACCCATGTTTAGGCAAATAGTTACGGATGAGCCGAGAATTGAGAATTGAGATCTTTCTCTTCAATTTTCGTTTCTGAAAATGCTACAATGAAAAATTTTTAAATTAGATGACTAATTAAATAATTATGCCTCATCCAAATTGGTGGGTACTTAATTAGCATTGATCGAGTACTGGAGGGTGAGAAGTTGAAAATGTATTACTTGTAAATCTCTTCAAGGTTGAAGTTATATTGATCCTAAATCTAAAAGAAATAACATGCAATAAGGAAATGAGATGGAAAATATTTACAAATAAAAAGAAATGTAACAATACTTTTATAACATGTTTGGCTGGGGGAATGGCTAAGCATTTCTCAAAAATTCTCTCCCTGTGTTTTGTATGTGGAACCGCTATTCTTCAAAATCATCCTAAACTTTGGAATATAGCTATTCCATATTCATGGGATTAAAATCCAAAACATTTTGGATTAAAATATCCTTACTTTCTTTGAAAAATTACAAACTTAAACTTATAAAATTAATGTTTTAAATTAAAAATTTTTAATATTTTAATATTTTTATCACAATAATATTAAAATTATTAAAAATATTTATATTTTAATCATAATAACATTTCAATTATAATTTAAAATATTAGTGATTAAATTATAAATAAAATATTAATATTTAAATTATCAATTATTAATTTTATTATAAAAAAGAAAAAAGTTTAAATTTTTAATAATAAATTATAAAAATATATTTTAAATTAAAAAATTGATTAAAATTATTCATATTTTAATCATAATATCATTGAAATTATAAATAAAATATTAATATTTAAATTATCAATGACTAATATTTTAAATTAATTAAAAATTATTAATATTTAAAAATAAAATAAAATAAAAATAAATAATCATAATAACATTTAAATTATCAATAGAATATTAATATCTTAAAATATTAATTGTTAAATTATATATAAAACATTAATATTTAAATTATAAATTATGTATATATTAATAAATTATAAAATATTAATATTTTAAAATTAAAATAAAAATAGATAATCATAATAACATTCAAATTAAAAATAAAAATTAGTATTTTAAAATATTAATTTAGAAATTATTAAGTGAAAATATAAATTAAAAGAAATAAAAACAGAGAAAAGTAAAAAAATAAAATATTATACTAATACCTAATAATAAATTATTAAATTATTAAAATTCTAAAGTTTCAATAAAAATAAAAATTAAATAATTAGAAATGAAAAAATTTACTTAATTTTGTGTTTGGGTATAAATTTTACTAAATTATATAAAGAGTATTTTTGTTTTTGATGAAAATAAATCTTATTCCAATAAAGAGTTTAAGTTTTCAACTATATATTAATAATAATTTTGAGTTTAAAAATTAATTAAATGTATTAATACTTTAATCATAATTATATTTAAATTATAAAAAAATTAATATATAAATGATCAAATATTAATATTTTAAATAAGTTATAGATTATTAATATTTAAAAAATAAAACTAAATAATCATAATAATATTTAAATTATAAAGAATATATTAATATTTTATAATATTAATGATTAAATTATAAACAAAATATTAATATTTAAAATTTAAAAATAAATAATAATATATATAATAAAAGATATCTTTGTTTTTTTTATTCTCTATTCTTTTTTATTTTAAATTTATTTTTATTAACCAAACATTGTAATAAGTCCTATGAACTATTCCTCTTCTATTCTATTTAGTGCACCAAATTAAATAATAACTATTTTATTTTATTTTTATAAAATAATCATTTTATTTTATTTTTACTTATTTTGCGATTTAAACGTGCAGTTGGGTGTATTGAAAATAAAGTAGATGAAAAAGGACAAATAAGTAAAACGCCGGCCATTGGCTTTTAGGTGTATATTTGCTGCCTTGACTGTCCGCTTCTTTAGAACACTATTTTGTTTCTTCCTTCTCAAAATCTCATAGGTCATTATTTTGACCTTTAAAGAGAATACTATCCTGTGGAATGCAGCTGATGATCACCCACACATCCTTCCCACTTGAATCCTTTTAGAGTTCTATATATATTAAAGATTTTCAAACGGAGTTTTATTTAATTATTACTACTTTTAACTTTGGAAACAAGAAAGTAATTAAAGTAACTATTAAATACAACTTAATTACGAGCATTGGAAAGCCTTTTGCCTTCAAAACAAAAAAGTGCAATATCTTTTGATCACACTTGTCAAGCTGCATTTGTGTGCATAATTTCACATAATGTATTTAAATTTCTTTGTTGTCATACAGTTGTGCAATAGTTGTGGTCAATATACAAAAAGTTAAAAAGATTCACACATAATAAATTTTAATGACTAATAGTTGAGTAATTAGTATTCTTTAAAATACTATTTATTATTCTATGTTACGTAATACTAATGTGACATGTTCATATGTTATAATAATGGTAATATCACATGTTAATGTAATCTGATGCTATAATCATGTCATTTTCACTCTTCACGTCAATGTCATATGAATGTAAAATGAAAAATAATATTTTGATTAATAACAACTAATCAGTCGTAGTTATAAAAATTTATTTAATTTAAAATAAAAATATAAAAATCTAATTAAATGTAATAAAAGAATAA